TTTTAGGGATGTCTGGGGGGAAGCCGATGTGAAGTTCAAGGGGTGACCTAGGAAGAGAAGGCAGTCATCATCAGTCCAGACAGACACCCATAGGGATTGACTGGATGATAGAGGGCCCCGTGCGGGTCAGAGGAATGAAGAGATGCTCAAAGAATAAGGAAGCTGAGACCACAGAGGAAAAGGGGCGTCCAGGTAAGGGGAAGAGTCTCACCTGTCTGGGGGTTCACTGTCCCCAGAGGTCCCTGCGGTGCTGGCAGAAGGGTGGAAGGAAGCAAACATCCGGATGGGGCTGCTGGGGTTGGAAGGAAGGAAGTCAGGACCAGAACAAGAGAACAGGATGTCCCCTGGGAAGGCTGAGGCTCAACAACCACTATCCCCAGAACGCTGGGCACCAAGCATTGCCCTAGCAGTCTCTAGGACAAGGAGTGAGCAGCTGAATGAGGGAGACAGGGATGAGAGTTCCAGGGGACAAGGTCCAGGGAGGTGGGCAATGGGTCACTGACCTGGGCAGACAGCGGGCGTCTGTGGGCCGGAAGTTGTAGCCGCTGCTGCCCTGGTAGCTCTGGTTAGGGCTGGGGGGTGATGGAGACACTGAGGCCTAGGAGAAGGGGCAGAGGACTGAGGGGTCACCTCTGGTTCCTTCCCACACCACTGTGGCCTGTGGCCCTGGGCTCCCCGTCGCCCCCATACCTGCAGCGCCCTCTGCAGCCGTGCCCGCTCCCTCTGCTCCTGGGCCTCTGGCGGATTGCACATTGCCGAGGGTGGCTCCAGCTCCTCCACTTTCCCCTTCTGCCTCCTTCTCAGGGGCTCCGGCTCTGGTCTCCGTCGCTTCCCCAGGGGACGTGAGACCCCTCCCCCAGGGCCCTGCCCTGAAGGGAAGCTGTAAGAGGCCTCCTTATCCCCCCAGCCCCCTCCGGACACCCCAGACACCTCCCAGACCAGTCCTTGGAAATGTCCCCCATCCTCCCTGGACCAGTGACCTGGTGGGAGCTCCGTCTCCATGCGGGTGCTCCACAGGAGGGGGGGCCCGAGCATGGAGCCCAAACAAGCATTTCCTCTTCTTAATCTCCCTCCCTGAAATGAAACTGGGGCGAAGAAGGCACACGGGCTCAGCACTGCAGAAGAGGCTGGCCACTCACCTTTGGTCAGCCAGGTGTGGCGGGGCCCCTTCCCCGCTCAGCTTCCAAATCTTGGTCTCAGAGCCTCCTGCCTCTGCCTCCCCTGCTCCACTCACCGGTCTTTGTGGTTGTTGAGAGCAGAGAGGAGCTTGGAAGAACGCTCTCCCTTGGGGGTGTCTGAGAGCTGGGGGGTGGAAGGTAAGCGGGCTCAGTGGACAGCAATTCCCTCCCTACCTTGCCCCCTAGCCTGCACACCCCCTACCTCGCCCAGGAGCAGGCTGTCCCAGTTCTCTGAGGTGAAGGGCAGGATCTCACGGTCAAAGTCAAAGTATTTCTTCTTACAGCAAACACTGAGGTGATAGAGGACAAGATGGGCCACGTCCACCCTGGAGAAACATCATGTCACCAAGGCCACGGGAGCGTGACCAAACCCAGGAGCCCAAGGTGGGCGGCAGCGGCGTGAGGGTGAAACGCTGTCCCAGGGGCGCCCCGGCCGCTCACCAGCGCAGCTGCAGCCTCCGCACCTTCTCAGGTCCCCCCCGGCACACGCAGCATTCAAACTCATAGAACCTGGGCACAGCGGGAGGGGAGAACACACCTGGCTCTGGTTCTGGCACACTGAGCACTCCCCACAGGAGTGGCACCCAGCACCCAGGAGGCGGGGCAGGGGGCGCCCACACCAGGCTCACCGGTCCCCGTAGAGCAGGGGCTTGCTCAGACACTGCGTGCAGGCCTCGTGGAACCACTGCAGGCAGCTCCGGCACTGCAGCATCTTCAGGTTCCACCTGAGGGCACACGGCACAGTGACTCCGGACTCACCTCCCCTGTGCCACCCTCATCCTCCCTCACCCTCATCTCTCTTCCCGGGCTCTGCTGCCCTGTCACTCACTCCCCAGGACCGCCACAGTAACAGTAGCTCTGCTGCCGGTTGCTCAGGTGCCCAGCATCCCAGTCGAGCCCCTTCAGTCCGTATGGCAGGGATAGTTTCATGCCCAGCATGGCCCGGGCATAGGGACCCTTCTTCAGCGCACCCCCCCTCTGCAGAGCAAGAGCAGGCAGAGCCTCAGGGGCGGGAGCAGGGGGCCTGGGCAAGGCTGAGGGCCTCTGAGTGGTGCCTTTACCTTGGTGGCGATGGCAAAAACGCACTGACGGCAGACCCAGGCTGTGGCCTCTCCCTCTCCTGGGGCCGGGGCCCTGGGTACGTGGCAGTCCTGGTGGTACGCTGAACAAGGACAAGGTCACTGGAGCCTGTGCAGGGCAGCAGCAGCCACCTCAACCCATCCTACTAAACTCACTCAACCTACCGCAGCAGATGCATTACCCCAACCTCACAGGCAGGACCCAGGCTCCTAGGGTCCCCCTTAGCACAGGGTGGGAACAGAATGGGTGTGGGCTACTTTTGCCTGCGCTGTTCACCCCCCTTATTTCTTTTTTTTTTTTTTTTTGTCTTTTTCCTTTTTATCGGTACCGGGGATCGAACTCACACTGTCTGCTTTCAAGGCAGGCGCTTATGCCGCTGAGCTAAATCCCCAGCCCCTCACACCCCTTATTTCTACAGCAGCCTCTTCCCTTGTCACTAGATAAGGATTCGGGCCAGAGTGGTGGCCTGAGGAACAGGCCAGAACAGGGGACACAAGGACCAGTGCTACAGAGAAGGGTCCAGAGCCCTCTCACCGTGGCGACACTTCTCACAGCTGACCAGCCGGTTCCCAGCAACCACGTTCTCAGAGCGGCAGACGCAGCAGAGGAGCTCCTCTCCGGGAAGGGCAGCTGCAGGCAGTGGGGATGTCAGAAGGCCTCCCCCAGCCCCAGGCCACAGGAAACCTGCTTTCTACCCACGAGGTCTCGGTGCTTTCGGTCTCACCTGGGCTGATGTCTTTCCACAGAACCAGAAACTGGGAATCGTCTTCAAACTGGACCAGACACACCTCCCGGGCGCTGTCCACCTGGGAGACAGAGGACACAGGACCCCAGGCATGGCTGAGGGTAGGAGGGAGAGAGGGCAGAGGGAGAGGCCTCACCTTCTTGATGGTGCCCAGGTACAGCAGCCCATCCGTCCATCTGGCCAGGACATCCTGCCCCTCCCAAAGTCGAGGCCTGGGGCCTGAGGTGGGAGCAGAAGTGGGGTCCCAGAGAGAGGGGGCCCCAGAGCGGCTCAGCCGGGGGGGCTGTGCCATTGCATCCTGGGGGGAGCTGACTGGGAATGAAAGAAAACAGGTGGTTATGAAGGCTGAGAAAGTGTCGCCCCATTTTCTTTGCTTATTTTTCTGTCAAGGACGAAGCATCCGCATCTCCAGTCTCCACACTCCCCGGACACTGCTCGACCCTCCCCAGCTCCTGGACTGCAGCTCTTTCAACCTGCTCCCCCTTCTCTTCCACCGCCCCCAACCTACTTCTCCAGTTTCCCAGCTTCCAGAGCTCTCCTGGGATAGTACATCCCGGCCTTGGGATCTCAGGAGAAACGATGGCTGCAGAAGCAAGGGTTACCCGCAACTGCATAGAGGTAGCACGCTTGGTTGGGGTACCCTGCTTTGCTGCCCACCCATTTTTGGGGGACTTTTCTGTAGAAGTCTCCCAGAGTACAAGTGGCTAACCCCCTGGGCCTGCACGTCTGGTTCCGAACAATCCTCCGGGTGCCAGGTTATGTCAGGTCACCCTCGAATCAGGGGCTCCGTGCCCCGGGTAGACAACTTCCCTGAGCACCCCGAGGGGGGCGTGTCCCGTCCCGGGCTTCACTCCCCACCCAGCCAGTAGGAGCAGGGACGTGCGTCGCTGCCGCCCGGCCCGGCCCGGTCCGGCCCGGCCCGAGCCCTGGGCCCCGGGGCTCTCGCTCTCCACCACCCCGCGCCGCCCCGGTCCTGCCCCCCCACCCGCGCGCCTCCTGCTGCCTTCTTACCGGTGACAGCTGGGGCGGCCGGGAGCCGGGCAGGGGCGGACGTCGGGGGCCTGGGCGAGCCCCGCGCTCAGGGAGGGCACGTCGGGGCGCCAGGGACAGTGCGGGCGGAAGCCGGGGGTCTCCGGGCCCAGCCCCTCCGTCCCGGCGGCTCTGGGGCGTATGACGCAGCAGCCAAAGCAGCGGCGGCGGCGGGAGGAGGCGGCGGGCAGGGAAGGGGAGGGCAGGGGAGGGACGGACCGGCGGGGCGAGGCGGCGCGGGGAGGAGCCGGAGGGGGGGGCGGGCACCACTCACCCCACCCCCTCACCTCGGAGGGCCCGAGGGCGCCGGGCGGGCGGCTGCTCCTGCGCGGCCAAGGCTCGCGGGCCCGGGAGGCCGAGGGAATCCCCGCAGCCCCCTCCGCGGGGAGACGCGCCCCGGGGGCACGGGGGAATCCCCTCCGCGGCCGCCCCCCACCCAGTGCCACATCCGTTAGCCGCCCCACCCCCACGGACAGACAAGCCCCGCCCCTCGAGGCCCCGCCCCTTCGCCATTCCCGCGCCCCTCCTCGCCGATGCCTTGCCCCACCCCACCGCGCTTCTGCGCACGCGCGGCCCCTCCCGCGCAAGGCACCTGGGCTGGCCGGGCCCCTCCTCTACAGGGCAGCGGTTGGCGCTCGGCGAGGGCTCCCGCTTCCAAGCTCTTCCCGCCCGTCCCCGTCTCGGGGCGGTGCGCGGACGTGGAGGGTCAGTACCCAGGAGGTGGGCTGGTGACGCGCCGAGCGCCAGCCAATGGACAGCAGGCGGGCAGGGGCCCGGTGGTTCGAAAGGGACGACTTGCAAAGGGCGGGGAGGCGCGCGGGCGGCGTTGCACGGGGAGGCACCGCCTCGGTGGCGGCTGGGTTGGGCCGGGGGCGTGGGGTCGGTTGGGTATGCAAAGCCCAAGCACTTCCCCCTGCAGAGCACAGGATGGAGAGCATAGCCGCAGCTTATAAGAAAAACCGCCCGTCTCTGGCAACTGCTAATAAAACCTTTATTTAAAGAGCAACAACCTTAGAGGGGTGCCTAGTATTTTTGTTTTTTGAGACAGGGTCTCGCTGGGTAGCCCAGGCTGGCCTCAAAGTCAGTGATCCTCCTGCCTCATTCTTGCAGTGCTGGGATTACAGGCGAGCGTGCCATCACGCCCAGCAGTGTTCTTTATTTGATAAACAGAGTACATAGTGCCCTTCACCCAACAAATCATCCTGCAGAAATCTGTCTCCTTCCAATACAGACACACGGACAAAGCACAGAGAGGCTCAGGCTTCATCTTCATTTCTTGTTGGCCTGGGCAGTACCAATAACACACTGGTTCACCTGGGGACAGAGAGCAAACAGGAGTTTAGAAGCTGTTTGCAGAACCAGCCTTGAGAAGAGTCTTCCCGAGTTCAGGCTGGTCCTCCGAGCACAGTCAGTCCGATGGCTCCCAGGGAAGCCCTCGGGAGGACAGAAGCACAAGCACTGCTGTTTTCAGCAGTTCCCTGGACGGAGACCTGGAGTGCTGCCACCAGAAAATGGCACGGGCTCCCCAGAAAATCATCCTGAGTCTTGGGAGGAAGTAAGGAGGAATGGGGACCTGGGACAGGCAACAGGGTTTTGTTAAAGGACATGAGGAATAGCCCAGCAAGGTGGTGCAGGGCTGTAACAATGACTGGAGAAGACTGACACCTGAAATATATAAGCTCTGAAAAAGTGGAAACACTTTCCACCCTGCCTTAAAACTCAGGAGTCATCTTTTGAGTTGCTAGGATATCAACTCAGTGCTGAGACTCAAGGAACCCCATCTTTCTGTTCTTACATGGACCAAACCTCAGCAGGACCAAAGGCAGGCACACCTTGTTTTACTGTACTTTACTGCAATTCATAGAATGTGTGTGTGGGGCGGGGTTTAGACTGAAGGTTTGTGGCAATCCTGCATCAAGCAAGTCTAGTGGTGCCATTTTCCAATACTTATCACTTTCACTTTCTAGCAGTACAATGTTTTTAGTTAAGGTGTAAACACTTTTAGAAGACATAATGCTACTGCACACTTCTCAGACAGGAAAACATTACTGATAGACAACAAAGATTAGAAAATAACTTTTGAGACAGCATCTCACTATGCACTTCAGACTGGCCTTGAATTCTTTTTTTTTTTTTTTAATTTTTTTTTGTCTTTTTCCTTTTTATCGGTACCGGGGATTGAACTCATGACCGCCTGCTTGCAAGGCAGGTGCTTATGCCACTGAGCTAAATCCCCAGCGCCTGGCCTTGAATTCTTGAAGATCTTCCTGCCTCAGCCTTCCAAATGCTGGGATTAAAGGTGTGTATCACCACACCCAGCAGGAAATAACCAATTTAAAGAAATAGATCTACACAAGGTCATCATTTGTTAGAATCAAGGTGAAAATCAACTGAGTTTCTAACTGCATCAGGCTGACAACCCCCAAATCTGATAGTATTTAATTCATCAGAAGGCAAGCCTTCTAATTAGTGTCAAATATTTATATAACCCCAGCACTTGGAGGCTGAGGCAGGATGGTTGTATTCAAGGCCAGCCTTTTTGAGACCGTGTCTCCAAAAAGTCAAACCAAACACACAAAAAATAGAACTAACTGGGTGTGGTGGTCCACGTCCTGCTCCCACGACAGGACTGCTGTGAGTTTAGGAGCAGCCTGCAGTACACAGCAGGACCCTGTCTCAACGACGGACGTAACAGGAAGTGTACTACACCATCTATTAAGTTTTCTTCCCAAGAAATCTGAACTAGAATTTAAATGTAACCAAACCTCTCAATCTAACTACTAGATAAAAAGTATGAGGGGCAGAAGGAAGCAACCAGTCAAAACCTAGACTACAGGAGAAGTGACCTTACTTCAACAAATATAGAAAAGTAGCGAGAGGGCCTGTAATCAAATACATTTGAGATGTTCCAACTGAAAGAAGTGGTCCTTGCTTGCAACCTGGATTTAGATTTCAACAAACCTAATGTGCAAATCATAGTTTTGGGACAGGTGGGTGAAAGAACTGGATTTAGGGGACGTTAACTTCCTGAAATACACTGTTGACATAATGTTAATAAAAGGCTCAAAGGTGGGGTGAAAAAAGTGGGGGACAGGCAGATCATGGGGGTGAGCCCAACCAAAGTGGATGTGCAGAGGTGGCATGGGAGCCCAGGCAGCTGCCACTCCCCAGGAACTGTAGCACTCAAAGTGGGGAGGGCCCAGAATGGGGTGGGGTAGAATCCAGGGAAGGCCTGTCCCCCAGGAGAAGGGGAGACCAAGGGAGCCCCTCCCCCAGCTGGGGATGCCTGGGAGCTGACTTGCAAACCCAGAGGAAGGAGCCCTAAACCTCCAGGGAACTCAAGGCTTCAGGCTGAGCCCTGGGGGATGGGAGCCTGAGCTCCCACTTTGGGATGCTCCATGGCCACCTGTGTCCTAGCAATCCCATTTCCAAAAGCATTCCCTGGAGAGTGACAGGTAATGGGAAACACAGACTGGAGTTCCTCAGTGTGGCCTTGGTAACAGAAGAAGGCAAAAACAATGCAAGTGTCCAGCAGAGGGAACTGGTGAAGAGATTCTGGTGTGTGTGTCCACAGAATCCCAGGCAAACCTAAAAGCAATGTGATGGACCCAAGTGCTAATGGGTACAAGTCCTAGGGTTTCCCCACCCCCAGCCTGGAGATTAAACACAGCCTTTGCACTGAGCTACCTTCCCACAGTGTGTATGTGAGACAAGGTCGTAGGGAGTCACCCAGTCGCCCAGGCAGAACTGAATTTACAATCCTCCTGCCTCTGACTTCAGAGTTCTGGGATTATAAACATGCGATACCATCTCTGGCTCTTTGGGCTGCTTTGTTGAACACAACAAACAGGCACAGAAATAGATACCTACATATACACACTGGAGAGAATACCCATATACCTTGTTTTGTAACATATTTTAAGCTGGATGTGGTGACATGCACCTGTGATCCCAGCACTTGGGAGGCAGAGGCAGGAGGATCATTGTGACTTTGAGGTCAGCCTGGGCTACAAAGTGAGTTCAAGGCCAGCCTGAACTGCATAGTGACACCCTGCCTCAAAAAGACAAAAAAAAGAGAATACTATATCATTTTGATCATTTAGCCACCTATTTTTTCAAAAATTCAAAAGCCAACAGTTCATGGAGTCAGGTGGTACAAGCCTGTAATCCCAGCTATTGGTGAGGCGGAGGCAGGACAATTGTAAATCTGAGGCCAGCCTGGCCAACTATCGGAAAAATAAAAGAAGGGCCTGGAGGATGTAGCTTAATATAAGGCTGGGGGTCCATGCCTACTCCTCCCCACACAAAGGAACCAGATGGGCAGTGCCAGGTGCCTGGCTGATGGTCAGTCTTTTGTGGGGGAAGGTGCCACAGCGGAGACGCTGCTAACCACCGGGCTGTCCACAGGGCTTGGTGGTGCACGCACCTTGGAGGCGAAGCGCAGAGAATTGAGGGACTCGGAGGCGTTCTCTTCCAGCGGGGAAATGTTCACAAACATGAGCCTGCGGGGAGACGCTTGTGGCTCAGCAATGCGGGTGCCAGGGAAGTAAGCACCCCCTCCTCCCATGCCCCTGAGAGCAGACCCACCCCCCCACTCACATCTTGGCACTGCCACCCAGGGAGCTCTGCAGCAGGTAGGTGAGCTTGCTGTTCCGGTAAGGGACGTGGGGCTCCTGGGATTAGGGGGAGCAGGCTGTCAGGGTGGCCCAGGCCCTTTGCAGCCCACCTGAGCTGTAGTGCTACCCTGCCCCACCCCATCCCACCTTGTTGCTCAGGGCCATGATGACCAGCCCCAGTGTGGACAGGCTGCTGTTGATGGCCTGTGTCTCCCGCAGGCGGTCCCGCTCTTCACGGCCCAGGGCGAGGCTGGGGTCCAGTCGCTCACTCCCAGCCAGGTCTATAAGGTTGAGAGGGGCCCCACACTTCAGGCCCCGGGCAGCATGCTCCCCGAAAATCTGCAGCTGGAACACGCTGTGACTGCGGGAGGAGCGCTCGTTTTGGGCGGTGCGGGCCACAGCCCGGTTCTGGTGGGCCAGCTGAAGCAGGGTGCGCACCTGGAGAGGCGAGGGAGGCAGAAGTCAGCCGCCGCCCTTGGGGAGCTTGCATTCCAATCCGAGAAGAGACGCAGCTGGACGGCGGGCAGACAAACCATCCTCTCGCCCCCTCTTCCCGCCCGCCTCTCTCCCCACCCACGCTGTCCACCTCCCGCTTCTCCTACTGTCCAGTTCCAGGGCCTGCGGGTCCACACCTCTTTCTCACAGGAGACAAGGACATAGCGGGCATTGGTGACAGTAAGCTCCTCACTCCCTGGTCCTGCCCGGCGAATCTCGCACTCGCCTCCTTGGCCTTTCCGGGACCCAGTGGCCAGCAGGTCGCGGACAGTCTCGTTGTAGATCTCTACATAGCTTGCCACAAAGCTGTATGCCCAGCCCTGGCTGCTCATTTCCTCAGCCACAGCAAAGAGGTGCCGCAGTGCCCGTGGGATCAGCCCCTCCAACTGGGGGTCTCCCTCGGGCCCACCCTCCATCGTGAAGGTCTTGCCGCTTCCAGTCTGGCCGTAGGCAAAGATGCACACTGGGTACCCATCCAGGGCCGACTGGACCAGCATGGCGATCTCCTCAAACACTTCGTCCTGCCTACTTTCTGGTGGGAACACTCGGTCAAAGGAGAAGTCGTGGCGGGTAGGTGGGGCTGGAGCCCCCGTCAGGGTGCCGCGCCGGTCGTCAGAGCGCGTGAGGCTAAGGCGGGTGGGGATGTCGGCGGGCCCCCCAGGCCCAGCGGGGAACACGAGGAACCCAGGGGCCGGGCTGGGCTCTCCTGTGAGAACAGGGCGGACCCGGCAGAATACCCGGATGTTGCCCTTCAGTTCCTGCAGCTGGTTGTGCAGCCGCCGGCGCTCCATGTCCAGCGCATGGAGGCGGTCTCCTCGCTCAGCCAGTAAGGCTGCCTGGGCCGTGGTCTCCTGCCGCAGCGATGCCACCTCCGCCTGGCTGCTCGACAGCGCCGCTTCTGATGCCCGCAGCCGCCTCTGCCCAGAGTAGAACAGACAGTGAGTGAGATCTGGCATAACAAATCATGTGGCTAAGTCAGGGCTCGAGTAAGGTGGGGTCCCTGGCCCCAAGGACTTCCCTGGTAAAGAGTGAAATAGATATGGAAACAGCATCAGGCTAGGGTCGTGGCTCAGCGGTAGAGCACGTAACTAGATAGTGTGTGGACCCCAATACTGCAAAAAGACTAGAAAAAGAAAAAGGAATGAGGAAATCAATACTAGGTCAGAAAGTGCTATGGGTTTATGCAGGAGGGGTACCAGGAAGATGTTATCTAGGCTGATGCCCATGTAGGGAAGGCTGGGCTGCAGAAAGAACTCCAGAGAGGGCTATAAGGGACAGCTGAGTTCACTGCGTCTGCATGCCACTCAGTCTCACTGGAGTCCACCAAGGAGTGCACTGGACACGGGGCAGGGTGGGGGTGGGGGTGGGGACACGGTACCTCAGGGGTTGCCATCAGGTCGGGGGGCAGAGAAGAGGAGAAGGGCAGGCTGGGGAGACATGAGGAACACAAAGGAGGTACAGGCAGATGGGGGCAGAAAGTGAGCCAGGGTGGGAGAGGGGCGTGGGCACCACTGGGAACAGGAGCACCCGCCTCACCTCCTGCTCCTCCAGCTGGGTGGTCAGTGTCCTCCGCTCCTCCTGCAGCTCCAGCTGTTCTTTCTGGAGCGTGTGCACCAAGCCCTCCTGCGTGCTCAGCCGCTCTTCCAGCTCCCGCACTCTGGCGCTCAGACTCCCCAGTTCCCGCTGGCCCTGCTCAGCCTGGGCCCGCACCCTGGCCAGCTCCCCCTCCAAGCTGCTGCGCTCCGTCCCTAGGGCACTGGCCTGCTGCTGGGCCTCTTGGAGCTGGGCCCGCAGCTGCTGGTTCTCCTGGTCCAGTGTCTGTGTCTTCTCTCGGCAGCGCTTCAGCTCTGCGTTGACGTCGCATAGCTGACCCTTTAGGTCCCAGCCAGGACGTCTGCCAGGCTTCTTGCCTCCCACCACAGGAGGAGCAGTGGATGCTGACAGGCACAGAAACAGCCAGGGTCTGTGGTCTTCGCTCTCCCATTGCTGCATACCCCTCCTTCCCCTCTGTACAGCCAGGAGACAAGTGGCTGCTCCTAGGCACTCACCACCGCCTCGTCCCTTTCCCAAAGTCACCCAGTGGTCCTGTTTGTTACTTACCAGCAGGCTTCTGGGCAGGAGCAGGGGGGACCAGCCTCTGATTCTTCAGCACTAAGGGATTGAGGAGGTAACGTAAGATAACAGAACCAGCTCCCTCTACCACCACACAGCCCGGAAACTTTCTCAGCAGAAGCTATTACCTGTACTTGGGGGGCATGGTCCTGTCTTCCTGGGAAATCTTTGAGCTGCAGAGATGGGGAGGGGTGTAGAAAAGTAACTCTTAGGTGGCACAGACTGGCTATGCCAGCAGGAGGAGTTTTGTTTTGGTTTTTGAGATTTTTCTTTTTCGGAGACAGTGTCTTATTATGTAGTCCAAGCTGTCCTTGAACTCACAATCTTCCTGCTTCAGTCTGAAAGAGGGCTGAGATTACAGGTACGCACCACCATGCCCAGCTAATGAGGTGCTTTTTCTAAGCACTGGAAATAAATTAACTGCTTTTGTCCCCTAGGTCCAGCCAGCTCTAACTGACATCTCCCTGAGGACCAAGGACTCTCTAGGCCAAGAAGAAAGCTGGAGTGTGCTAAGTAAAATGGGGAGGGAGGCAGTGCTGCGGAAGAGGACGCTATCATTTGAGGGGAGGACAGTGGGCGTGACGTCTGCATTCGCTTGAACATAAACAGAATTTGCCCAGCAGAGCCGGCTGTAGTGGGGCACACCTGGAATCCCAGCACTGGGAGGTTGGGGTAGGAGGATCAAGTTCGGGGCCAGCCTGGGCTACACAGTGAGACTGCCCCCACCTCCGCTTTCCTTCAAAAAGAATCTCCTAGAGGGCTCAGTTTCCTCTGGGAAGGGGATCTAGATGGCTCAGGGATGGGATGGGAAGGAAACGTCCCTACATAACAATCTTCTTGCCGCTGGAGTTGTGAACCCAGTGCGGCATTACTGCCTCTGTGAAGGCAGACTGTGGTTCAAAGAGTGAGCGGGCGAGCATGGCCCTTCCCTGTCCTGTCCCCCTCCACCCGAGCCCACCTGCAGCTTGGCCTTGGCTCTGCGAAGCTGTGCTGAGCGGCGGTGCCCTTGGACACAAGGTGTCGATTTTGGGTGCTGGACCCAGGCCTCGCGTCCGTTTCTGGGGAAAGACAAGGATGGGGTCCACTCACCCACCTCATCACCTCTGCTCCGGCAGCGCCCAGGCCCAGCGCCCGCACCCGGCTCACCTTCGCAGGCTCCAAGGCCGGCTCCATCTGCTCTGGGCCCCTCTTGAGCCTGCTTCCCGAGAGAGGAAGCCGGGAGGGGGCCTTGGCCAGGCTCTTCTTCAGCTCTGTGTTTGCCTTCACTTCCAGCAGCGGGGGCCTCTGACGGGAAAGAGAACCTCAAGCTGTCACCCAGCACCCTGCAAAACCTCCGTTTCCCCAGCATTCATCCTCAACATCACCTCAAGAATTAACTGAACCCAGTTTGTGCCCAGCCAGGTAGCATGTTCAAACATGGACCCCAGCCTGAAGGCAGGGGCAGCCTATGAGCCTGAGCTGCCTTCTTGGTGGGGCTCAGACAGTGAGAGACACCCTCACTCTTTCTAGAAAGCAAGCCTCAGGCATGTGCCATGGGGCTGGAAAGCAGCAGCCTTTCAGCAGAACTGCAGCCATAAATCGCTGGGCATGGAGGACAGGCGAGGTTGCAGGGGGCCGGGAGGAGCAGGCATCCAGCAGCTTCCTCTCCACTAGCCCTGGCCTCCCAGAGGCCAGTGGAGGAGGCACTGGGTGAACTCCATCCTGCAGATGAGGACAGGAGCCACCTGGTCCAGGGCTATCAGCCAGCAAGAGGGGCAGCCGTAGTGGTGCACACCTGTGATCCCTGCACTCACAAGGCTGGGGCAGGAAGGGTCAATGGGAGGTCCAGGCCAGCATGAGCCACATAATGAGCTCAGGGTTAGCCTGGACTGCATAGCAAGCCCTGTCTTCTTCAAAAAGCTAGAAACAACAAACAAAACAAACAGGCAGCAAGAATCTAGACAGTCGGGTTCCCAGAAAGCACAGCTTGCTTTCTTTCCTTTTTGTGGAACTGGAGACTGAACCTAGGGCCTCTGAGCTGAGCTACATCTCACCCCGCCCCGTAAATTTATTTCTAGAAGGTTGTACCTTCTCCAGGCCGGACTCAAAGTCCTGACCCTCCTGCCTCAGCCTCCCAGAACACTGGGATTACAGGTACGCGCCACCATGCCCAGCCAGGGCCGTGTGCTGACGCAGGAGACCACAGTGCTTTGTGAGGCTGTGATGCCAGGTTATGGTCTCTAGGCTTCACACCTGCATACAGTGAAGAGCCAGTTCCATTCTGATCACCCATGTCTCCACGTGTGGAAGATAAAGAATTACGACAGGTCATGAGGTGGGCAACTTGTGCGGGAAGACCCAGAGGTGGCAGCGGGCTGAGCCCCCCGCTGGGGTGGGAAGGAGGCCTCTCCTCTAGGCAGCCTCGCTTGGTGCCAAGATGCTGTCATCTGCATGACCGGTCTGATTGGGGGGGGTTGAAGCACCCAGGACCTTCGGCACTGGCACCAGCGGTTCTGGTGGGGGTGGCCCAGAAGCCCTCTGTGGGGCGTCACAGTTCAGATGGAGTCTTAAAGACGCCAGGAAGCCAGGCAGGTTCTATCCTCTGCACATCTGGGATGCACGTGCACAGTGGGCAAAGAGGTGATGAGGGGGGCAGAGGGATGGGTCTGTGGAGGCCGGGTACTGGAAAAGGGTTCGGGATCCTGCGCGGAGTAAGGGTTTTCAGGACTTGTAGTCAGGAAACTATAACTAGGTTTGTAGTTAAGAAAACAAAACGAAATGAGACAAAAGCAGCGGCGGCGGGAAGAGGCCGGCATCCCGGGCAGCCCAGGACAGCCCAAGGCATGGGCTCTCCGAGCAGGGCTCAGCGAACGGACGGCCGGCCCCCTACCAGCTCGCTTTCCACACGGGGGCGCTGCAAGAACTGAACTTGAGAAAAGAGCCTAGGGACTCAGCTCCGCAGCAGCACAAGTGCTTGCCTAGCAAGCCAAGGCGCTGAGTTCGATTCCCGGTACCACACCCACCCCACCAAAAAAGAAAATAATGTATTTTCTCAGTTCCCACAGCGATGTTCTCAGCGCCTAGCATTCTGGATACAAAAGTTCACTGGATGCCAAGGGTTCCTTTGGGCAGTAGAGTGTAATACCCCCTAGTGTGTGTATATGTGGGGCAGTGGTGGGGGGGGGCGCTGACCCACAGCAGGAGAAAGGGTGGCTTTCAGTTTTTTTCAATTAAATTTGAGACAGAGTCTCACTGATATTCTAGGCTGGCCGAGGATTCACGATCCTCCTGCCCCCAGCGCTTGAGCCCTGGGTTCCAGGCTGGCACCGTGCAGGGCTCCTCACATTTTGCTGCATGCTGAAAGGGGGGGGGGGCGCTTTAAAACTGTTGTTAAGAACATGAGATCCAAGAGTATGTGAAGACTTATTTTTATGAGGTGCTAAGCTTCAGTGGAGAAAGGGAATTGGAGCAACCTGTGATACAGTGATACACATTCAAGAGTGTTCAGCAAGCCTGCCCGAGAAAACCAGGAAGCACACCGCGAGGCAGGTTTCGTTCAGTGTCATTTGCTTGCGTCTTTCCCGAGTTACTGTGTGCACCGTGAGAACGCGTCTGTTTGGTTCCTAACTACACGGCCAAAGTCTCCTGCATAACCTCTGCTACACGGTGCTTTTTGAAGGCATGAAATTAAATATCCTGTTGTTTCAGCCCATTAGCCTGGCTGTTCATCTATGCGCATGATGATTATAAGGACTTACAAGTAAATGAATTTGATGCTGCAAAAAAAAAAAAGGGGGTGGTGGTGGTGGTGGAAGGGGTAGCTGGGGGAAGAACTGAGATGTGTTGGTGCAGGAACCAACCCCCCACAATGAGTGTGGCCCTTATGTACTGTGAACATGTACCAATAAAAATATTACAACTTAAAAAGAAAGTAACTATCAATGGGGGAATATATATACTGCAATACATCTAAGGTGGAAAAAAAGGTAGCATTTTCCTGGGTTCGTTCTTCCTTACTTGTAAAAATGTGTACCATTATTAACTTTAAGTTAATCAAATAATATTATTAGTTAAATTTTAATTAAGTATTCCAACATCAAACACTAAAAATTTTTTATAACAGTAGATCTCTACTACTGCAGATCTACTATAGAGCTACCTCCTCAGAATTTATACTTAAGATCTGTCAGCTTCAAATTGTACAGTGTTTCTTTTTCTTCCTCATATAAAACAACACAATGATCCCCAACTTCCAGAACCGGAAACATAAGAACTAAGCTGCAAGGGGCTGGGGATTTAGCTCAGCGGCATAAGCGCCTGCCTTGCAAGCAGGCAGTCATGAGTTTGATCCCTGGTACCAATAAAAAAATTAAAAAAAAAAAAAAAAAAAAAAAAAAAAGAACTAAGCTGCAACATGAATGCATTTTCACCCAACCCCTCATACAGTCCAAGAACAGCTACAGGGCCCAGGATTTAGCTCAGTGGCACCAGCACCTGCCTGGTAATTGCAACATCATGAGTTTGATCCCTGGTACCAAACAAACAAACAAACAACCCTCACCGGTTGTGAAGTCCTCTTTGGTGTCTTTATATGATACAAAATAAGGTGTGTGCTGATTCCAAGTGCCATCCAACAGTAAGGGGGTTTGTAAAAACATTACTGTGTGGCCTCAGCTACCTTATTCACCCTACCTGGCACCATGGGACTTCTGGTTCTTCTCCAAAGTCAAAATAACCAAGAAAAGTCAATGTTTGGGATTGATTTGGGTCAGAAGCAGCAAGACAGCAGAACCAAGGCACTCAAGAAGAATTTCAGAAATGCTTGGGAGAGTGGCAAGAATGATGGGATAAGTGTTTTTGAAACTAGAGGGATTAATGGCAATGAGCCTTTTACTGCAATACTTTTTCCTTTTTTTGAGACAAGATCTCACTATGCAGTGCAGGCTGGCCTTGAGCTCAGTGATCCTCCTGCTTCAGCCTCCCAAGTGCTGGTATTACAGGTGTGAGCCACCACGTCCGGCAACCCAATTTTAAAATCAGGAAACATGTTATCAGTCCACGTTTGCAGTCCACAGAGGTTACCTTGCTCTCAGGGAGTTGGTGCAGGTGCCTAACACATTTAATTCTTTTTACATCCTCCTCCCTCGATCATAAAAAAATTAATATTCGCCATATTTTCCCGTCATCTGCATCCATCCACTTTACCACAAGATCTGGGCTAGATGCTGCTCCTAGGCAAACCCTCCTGTGTGCCCTGGATCCCACCCCGTCTCACCAGCTCAGGGCGTGGCTCGGTGACCCCTTTTTCCCCTCCACCCCTCATTCCTCAGAGTTCATCACACAAGCACGCTCCCCCATCATTCTTCCCCTGGCAATTCCTAGGCTTTTCCCTTGTTGCCCCCTGCAACGAAGCTCCTCAAACACAGTCTGTGAAGTATTCGGTGTCCTTGGCTGTCTAACCAGGCTGCCATTCCCGCCTTCTCCCAGCCGCTGATCCAGTGCGCGGTAACTTCCGCCGCTAAATCGGTTCCTCCTCTTCAGGATTCTGGACAGCCAAGCAGCACCCGATGCCATCAATCATCTTGCCCCACGAGACTGCTCATTTCTTTAGTTTTTTAAAGACCCCTTCCTTGGCTGTCCTACCTCACGCGTGGGTCTCTCACCATCCTCTCCCAAGGCTCTAAGTATCAAAGATACGCTAAGCGCTCTCAATTTTTTTTTTTTTCCTCTTCACATTTACTTTTTAAGGAAATGGCTTAAGATAAAAAAACACACGGGGGAAAGAAATATGAAATGGAAAATAAATACAAATGTAAGCTGTTTCACTAAATGTTTTATAACCACGACAATGGACCTGTATAGACAATGCCCTGTCCACAAGAAGATTCAAAGGGGGAGGTGCTCCCGCAGCCAGGCTGCAGGCTGCAGGCAGGCGCCCAGCGGCTGCTGTGCACCCCAGCCCGCTAAAGCTCGGGATCCCAGCCTCCCAGCCTCCGCACGCCAGCGCAAACCGAGGTGAGGCCACAGGCGGGCTGCTGGGTGTGTGGCACAGCCATGCTTCCAACCAGACTCGAACGGAAGAACGGGGCTCGGCCCAGGCAGAAGCCACGGATGCATCTGGTTTCCTGTGTCGCAAGGCAGTGGCCAGCGGGGCTGTACCTTTCTGTCCCACTGCTGATGTGGGGCGCAGGGCCGCTCCTGTTACCCTTCTGCAGCGCCTGAGCAGCGCACTCCACCGAATCCTGCGCCAGTCTTCCTGCCCTGCCCGCGTGTTCCCACCGCGGAGCAGCGCTGGCTGGCTGTGC